TAAAAAAAATTACTGTCATCAACTGCTTCTTTTTGTTGCCCATTAATTGAGAGAAAATACAGCCCTGGAAATTCATTTTGTTAAAAGTAAAACATCTAACATGTTAATTGGAATTTCAATTAAAATCAACATGAATGATACAACTATTTCAACCAATTTTGGTGGAGCAAAGCTTTATGATAAAAACAATATTCACACTAAATTAAGAAATCTACAGAGCAGAAATGTACTTGGATTGGGAGCACCCATAAATTGTAATTATATCCAAATAAGATGTATGTTTCTACCAATGGAAATAGAAGCTTGAAGCTGTCAACATTTATAATTTTTGCCCATACACATGTAGGGTAAATTAAAAATTTTATGGCAAAACCAATGTTGAATAAACCCACAAACAAAAGCTCAGCATAGCAGTATATGTAGCCTTCTGTCTTTATTTTTTTAATAATACTTTGCATTTCAGAAATGTTTGAGCTGTATTTTGTGTCTAAGTGCACTAAAATATTACTGATATTTTGTAAATATTTCTACTAAGTTTGTTTCTTTATGTTAAAAATAAAAGACTTTTTTTTTTTTTTTTTTTTTTTGCGGTACGCGGGCCTCTCACCACTGTGGCCCCTCCCGTTGCGGAGCACAGGCTCCGGACGCGCAGGTCCAGCGGCCACGGCTCACAGGCCCAGCCGCTTCGCGGCATGTGGGATCCTCCGGGACCGGGGCACGAACCCGCGTCCCCTGTATCGGCAGGCAGACTCTCAACCACTGCGCCACCAGGGAAGCCCAGTAAATGACATTTTAAATCAAAAGATTGAGCTTTAAGGAAATCCCAGATTTGAAGATTTTAGTGAATTGCAGCAGATGAAAACAAAGCTTACAAACAGGTAGACACTAAAATTTATCCCTATAAGAACAAGAAAAGAATTGAACAAATTAAATGAGTTCAAGTGATTTATAATATTTAATTTAGAAATTCTATAGTTGTGCTTTAGAGTGTCTCAAATTGTAGACTCTTTTGATACTTTTACTTTTAATTGGATGAATTGATAGTCTGTGCCTTCTGTTTTTTTTTTTTTTTTTTTTTGTGGTACGCGGGCCTCTCACTGTTGTGGCCTCTCCCATTGCGGAGCACAGGCTCCGGACACGCAGGCTCAGTGGCCATGGCTCACAGGCCCAGCCACTCCGCGGCATGTGGGATCTTCCCGGACCGGGGCACGAACCCGTGTCCCCTGCATCGGCAGGCGGACTCTCAACCACTGCGCCACCAGGGAAGCCCTGTGCCTTCTTACTATATCTTTAATGTCTATCTTTAAAGATATTTTTAAAATTGAAATTTATTGAAATATTCAAAATAATCATAGATAAGAACAATGAATTTTATGAGTTTTGTCTTCTGAAGATATTTATTAAATAAATAAACTGATTCAAGGCCAAAAGACAGTAATTGAAAATATCCTGTGTTTAGTAGAGTTTATTTTGAGTTTACAAGGGACTTCATCTAGAGTGAGTAGTTTCATATTAAAAAAATATACATGGAGAGAATTTTCAATAGAATTTGTCGACAATTTCAAATTCATTGACTGTGAAAAACAATTTTGAAAAAAATTGTATGCAACTTTATTAAAATAATGAAAAGCAATAAGACCATATTTTTAAAAACACATTTTACAGAAAAGTCTATTGGCATAGTTTTAGAAACAGATACAACTAAGAAACTGATCAAAGTATGTGAAAAAGTATGTGTACCTAGAAAATGGTACAGATGAACCGGTTTGCAGAGCAGAAACTGAGACACAGAAGTAGAGAAAAAATGTATGGACACCAAGCGGGGAAAGTGGTGGCAGGGTGGGGGTGATGGTGAGATGAATTGGGAGATTGGGATTGACATATATACACTGATGTGTATAAAACGGATGACTAATAAGGAAAATAAATACAGTAATTAAAACAATAAATAAATAAATAAAAACACATTTTACAGAGAAGTCTATTGGCATAATTTTAGAAACAGATACAACTAAGAAACTAATTATAGTATGTGAATAAATGCCAAGACTAATTTGTTTTATTGTTTTTAATGGTTCAGAAAGCTAATAATGAGACTTAAATTTTTGCTTTAATGTGTATGGATGTATATATATCTTAATTTTGTAAAAATAATATTAATTTTAAAAATTGTTTTAAAAGATAACTCATAATAAAGGCCTACCAATTTAATAAAACCAATAGATACTCAATGAAAATATGTTATAAAATTATATTTAAAAATTATTTTTAGTAACTCCCTTTACTGTCAAAAATCTCCCAGTTTGGAACAATAAATTATATGATCACCCCAGGTTGTATATTCTTGCAATTCTTTACAATTATCTTCAGCCAATATTTGGTCATTTGGTTTCAGACCATACCACTGCTCCTTGCATTCTACTCCTTCCCACTGATTTCAATTTCCTTTTTTTTTTTTTTAACAAATGGAATGCCTTCACTTTTATTAATTAATTAATTAATTTTTGCTGTGTTGGGTCTTCGTTTCTATGCAAGGGCTTTCTCTAGTTGTGGCAAGCGGGGGCCACTCTTCATCATGGTGCACGGGCCTCTCACTATCGCGGCCTCTCTTTCTGCGGAGCACAGGCTCCAGATGCGCAAGCTCAGTAGTTGTGGGTCACAGGCCCAGTTGCTCTGCGGCATGTGGGATCCTCCCAGACCAGGGCTCGAACCCGTGTCCCCTGCATTAGCAGGCAGATTCTCAACCACTGCGCCACCAGGGAACGTCTCAATTTCCTTTTTATTGAGGTATAGTCTCTCTAATTCTTTAACCAAGTATGTGCAAGTGATAAAATTTTCCACTATTTGAAAGAAAATGCCTTTATATCATACATATTCTTGAATGATAATTGAACTAGTTACAAGATTCTTAGGTGACATTTATTTTCTCTTAGCCCTTTTTTTATTTAACATCTTTATTGGAGTATAATTGCTTTACAATGGTGTGTTAGTTTCTGCTTTATAACAAAGTGAATCAGTTATACATATACATATATCCTCATATCTCTTCCCTCTTGTGTCTCCCTCCCTTCCACACTCGCTGTCCCACCCCTCTAGGTGGTCACAAAGCACCGAGTTGATCTCCCTGTGCTATGCGGCTGCTTCCCACCAGCTATCTATTTTACGTTTGGTAGTGTATATATGTGCACGCCAATCTCTCACTTTGTCCCAGCTTACCCTTCCCCTTCCGCATATCCTCAAGTCCATTCTCCTGCGTCTTTATTCCCGTCTTGCCCCTAAGTTCTTCATGACCTTTTTTTTTTTCTTAGATTCCAATGCTAACACATGTATATGGAATCTCTTAGCACTTTTAAGATAAGTTTTCATTGTCTTTGAGCCTCTTTCATTGCTGTTGAATACTGTCAGTCTAATTGTTCCATTCTTAAGTAACTCATCTTTTGTTTATGGTTGCTTTCAACACTTTTTCTTTGTGTTTTATGAGGAGCAATTTAACTTTTAACAAGATATGAATACCTTAATCAGTTTGCTTAGAAATAAGTGGCCAATTTCAATCTGATAATTCATGTCTGTACTGAATTATGGATGATCCCAGGCATTATGTTTTTCAAATATTGCCTCAGTAGCATTCCCTTTGTTCTCTCCTGTTGGAACTCCTCTTAATGAATGTGATAAACTCTACTGCCTGGCCAGTCCACACCATTCCTAGATCCCTTCCTTCTTATACACTTTCACTAAAAAGACTAGAGCCGCTAAATACTCACTTTCCAAGTCTCGCTTGACTCAATGAGATGTTAAATGGAATTGTGGTGTTGGGGTTTCTGGGGAAACTCTTTTATGATGAAAAGGGAGATTCAGCTAGTGTTTCTCCTTTCCCCTTCCTTCTTCCTGCCACAAATTGAGATGAAGTGAGAGGAGCTTCAGCAGCCTTCACTTGGAACAAGTAAAAGGCTGAGGTAGAATCAGAGATGGTGTCTGTGATATACCTGAGGCACAAATCTATTGCTTATTAGCTGCCTCCCTCCAAATTTCTAATTATAAAATAAAATAATCTCAGTTTCTTTAAATAGAGGCTGTGGAAAGGATTTAGGTGCTGATACTTTACTTGAGAGGAACACCCCAAGATGAGGGTGAGAGAAACATGGAAATGAAGAAAGGAAGGATGCCAAGCAAGTTAATGCCATTCATTACTACCTGATACCTGTTTATCAAGAGACACAAAGAGATACAAGAGCACATAAAATGCTTTTATTTTATTTATTTATTTTTACATCTTTATTGGAGTTTAATTGCTTTACAATGGTGTGTTAGTTTCTGCTTTATAACAAAGTGAATCATTTATACATATACATATGTTCCCATATCTCTTCCCTCTTGCGTCTCCCTCCCTCCCACCCTCCCTATCCCACCCTCCCTATCCCACCCCTCTAGGTGGTCACAAAGCACCAAGCTGATCTCCCTGTGCCATGCGGCTGCTTCCCACTAGCTATCTATTTTACGTTTGGTAGTGTATATATGTCCATGCCACTCTCTCGCTTTGTCACAGCTTACCCTTCCCCCTCCCCGTGTCCTCAAGCCCATGCTCTAGTAGGTCTGTGTCTTTATTCCTGTCTTACCCCTAGGTTCTTCATGACATTTTTTCCCTTAAATTCCATATATATGTGTTAGCATACGGTATTTGTCTTTCTCTTTCTGACTTACTTCACTCTGTATGACAGACTCTAGGTCCATCCACCTCATTACAAATAGCTCAATTTCGTTTCTTTTTATGGCTGAGTAATATTCCGTTGTATATATGTGCCACATCTTCTTTATCCATTCATCCAATGATGGACACTTAGGATAAAATGCTTTTAAAACATTGAAATAGCTTCCTTTTCCTCAGCTTCCGCTAAGGTGCTCGGTCCTTCCAAGGAAGCTAAGGCCACGTTGGGGTGAGGCCCTCACTTCATCCAGCGACTAGCACCATGCCCGGCAGACCCTGCCTAGCCCTCGCCCACACCATGGCCTCCGTCTCGGAGCTCGCCTGCATCTACTCGGCCCTCATCCTGCACGACGATGAGGTGACGGTCACGGAGAATAAGATCAATGCCCTCATTAAAGCAGCCAGTGTAAATGTTGAACCTTTCTGGCCAGGCTTGTTTGCAAAGGCTTTGGCCAATGTCAACATCGGGAGCCTCATCTGCAATGTGGGGGCTGGTGCTACACCAGCAGGAGGTCCTGCCCCCTCCACCACTGCTGCCCCAGCTGAGAAGAAAGTGGAAGCAAAGAAAGAAGAATCTGAAGACTCTGATGATGACATGGGCTTTGGTCTTTTTGACTAAACCTCTTTAGTAGCACGTTCAATAAAAAGCTGAGTTCTTTTAAAAAAAAAAAAAACATTGAAATAGGAACTTTACATCAAAGTAGTTCAGTGGAGAGATAATAGAGGGCCTCCTGCTTCCTATGAGGTCACATAATGGGGAACACATGATGGGGAAGCTTCATGGGGATCTCTTGAACTTCCATGTCATGGGGGCCAGCCCTGGGTAGCCATTCATAAAGCCATGTCCCATCCACTGTAGCATAGTATTTCATCCATGTCTAAAAGAGTCGAGGCAGTCCTGAAAGGTGGGGTGTGGACCAAAAGAGAGGAAAGGAGATATTTGGGAGCATCTAAGAAAATACAGAACTTCCCTATTTAAAATTCCAAAACTTATCCTGAGTTTTCTCATACATCTTCCTTTCTTTATTTTCTTCTCATAGGATTTATTGCTAGCAAATACCATTCATTCATCTATTATCTTTCACCCTCTAATAGTTTGTAAGCTCCATGAAGTCAGGATTTTTATCTGTTCGGTTGTTGTTAATCTGCTATTTCCAGGCACCAAGAACATTACTTTCTTGGTACATAATATATAAATGAATTGCAACCATGATGTCTTTCCCTAATCCCTTGGATATT